CTATTTGCGAGTGCACCCAGGAGGAGACTGTCACAAGACCAGCTGGACACATGGAGGGAGAAACCCATGAGTTCCTGGTTCCTGTCCGTTGAAGGTTTGGAAGCCTTCAGAGCCTGTCCCCCTGTGCCAACCCATCCCTTGCAAACCGCCGCTACAGCAGCCTCTGACCAGCTGCCAGGCCCCTGACCTCATGTTCCTCTGACCACAGAGGACCAAGGCCATGTCTGCCCCAGGCTGTTTCCATAGAAATGCAAATACATAGAGAGAGCGCTTCCTCTTCAGGCCACCTTGCCCCTTTCTTCCCGTTTCTTCTAGATCTTTATGACAATAGCTCAGATTTCACAACAGAGAGATGTGTCACTCAGTCACGCGGTTCCCTATGAAGAAATACATTTTCTTCTCTCTATTTTTTTTGAAAGCACAGAAAATACGACAGATAAACTTCTGGGTCTTTATGAGGAGGTCACGCTCATGTCTCCCACAGGGGACAGGGAGCGAAACAGGAGCTAAGCCTAGAGGGGTCTTTGCAGAGGAGCTTCACTTTGGGTTTGCCTGACAGAGGGGAGCTCTCCCAGAAGGAGATGGGTGGTGCTGCATCAGCCCCTGGTGGCGGTTCAGACCCAACTCTTCTGACCCCAAAGGTGGAAACTAGGATTTCTGCCTTCCTGGAAGAGGCCCATCTCCTTCCACCCTCCAGCTTATCTCCCTCTGTGACAAGGATTGTCAACTTAAAAAAAAATCTGTGTGGAACCCAGGAAGTATGGGAAGAACCCATTTTTAAGCTTCAAGTTGTGTTGATTTGGGGTTGAGTTTTTGTATATTCAACTTCCTGTAAGACCAAGCTCTGAGAAGACCAAGCTCTGAGAAGGGCCATGGGCAGGGCATAAGCAACAAAGAACTGATAAGGGCAGGAAGTATGTCTTAGGTCTATGCCAAGAGGAGACCCAGAGATGAGGATTCCCGTGTAGGTGACTGACGAAGCGAAATTGGTAAGGGAGGGGAAGTCAGAGAGGAAAGGGTACAGAACCAAGCGAGGGTGTGTTCTCAGACAAAGTCTTGCAGAGATTGACTTCAGCTTGAGCCCACAACCACACTGGAGCAATAGTTAAGCCTCAGAGGCATCCTGACTGGAAGTAAGGGGGTTAGGGTTTCACACAACTTCCCACCACAGTGTCAAGTTTCCCAGGGGGACGTTTCCTAGGAACTTCCAGCTTTCTCTGTATGTGGAAAGAGGGGGCTCATGCAGCCCAAGGGTGGTGCCTTGAATAAAAGAACCACAGAAGCCAAGGGGAGTACCCATAAACAGTAAGAGGGGATCAGACCAGGACCTGGCTGCACCACCCAAATGGTTCTTCTATGAAGGGAATAGTCGTGTCACCGGACCCAGGGTAAACCTGCAGATTCCCTGCTCTCAGATGGACGATGGCACTAGTATTTCTGGGGGTGGAGCCCAGACACCTGCATGTCTGTCCACTCTCCGTGCGACTCTAAGGCCTTCTAACGGTGGCCAGCCACCCCTGTAAGTGTTGCAATGGGCTGAGGGTGAGCTCACTGCCAACAGCAAATTGGGGGCCAGGGCAATAGGAAGCACGACTCTTTAAAATGGAAGAAAGTGTAGCATGGGAGACGGGACACAAGACAGGCTTTGCAGGCAAACCCACTTGAATTCCTCTCCTGGCCCAGGGCTCTGTGACTTGGAGGAAACCCACCTGCCCTCAATTTCTTTACCTCTATGAGTCATAAAGCTTAATTCATGGGGCTCTGAGGAGTTGGTCCATTCCTTTATTCATCGGAGAAACATGTATCGAGTGCTCTGCATTTCAGCAGCCCCTCTGCTAGGTGCGGGGGGCATCGGAGTCTCAGATTTTAAGACAAGACACCTAGGACTCCTTCCTGCCTTTGTGGAGCTTGGGGCTGGGCGGTCACATCCCGACCCTGGGCGATGGAAGCCTTCCTGGGATCCTCCTGAGTCTCTTGTGGCTCCTCCATCTTCCTGATTTTCTGCAGTTCTGCAAGGCGAAGGGAATGTGTGAGGGGGGCAGAGGTGTTCTGGGAAGTCTGGGGCCAGATGCTGCCATAGAAAGCCCAGCGGGATGGAAAACAGAACAGAATGAGACGGAAAGAACTGTCTGTCCAGGTAAAGAGGAAGCCTGGAGGGCCTGGTTACCTGTGGGGAGTTTATATACTGGGAAGCCTGATATGGGGGGTGGGGGAAGAGAAAAGCTCCCTGGACTTATCAGAAGATACCATATATTACAATGGAAAGGACCTTGAACAAATAGTCGTTCTTTCATTTCTTCCGTTTTGATTTCTGTAACCTGGGTGTCAGCCAACCCCTTGGGGCTGGGATAAGGTGGCCTCGAATCCCACTTCCATGGCTCTCTCTGGGGCCTCCCCCAGTTCTCATAATCGCTCTGACTCACGGCCTCCTGCTCCGAAATCTGCAGTCTTCGTTCCCAACCATATTGATTTCGACGTCAGACAAGGCTCCTTCACTTCTTCTTACCAAACAAATCCATGGACACACAAACCCAAACAACCACAACAAACACTCAGGCATGTGCTTAGGTCAAACTGAAGAGGAAGTGTTTCCATCCCAGGAACAGGAACAAATTTAAAGGGATAAGAGAAGCCCCATTCCCCAAATTCTTTGGGATCCTTCAGGCTGCCCCTTCCCTCCTCCTCCCCCCACACTCTGCCTTCTCCCGTTACCCTCCCTCCCTCCTCCATGCTGTAAGAAAAGTTAATACATCTCCCCCCTTGCCTCAAGTAAAACAAACTCCCCACCTTGGGGTTATCCAAGCCTACGAGGAACTTAGCAAGGATTTTCCCACACAGAGATAGTTACCTCCCTCTAAGGAATTCTCACTCCCACTGCTTGGATAGCAATGGTTTCTACCTCATTACGATCCTTTCAATACAATAGACACTAATGGATCCCCTTGGTTATGGTTTCCATTACCCTCCCCCATAACTAATTCGGAATTTACTTTATTTCTTGGGGCTACAAGTTTGCTCAAGTAGAAATCTTGCCCACTTCTCAGGCTTCTTTGGAGCATTAAGTGAAGTCATGGCTGTGAGAGTTTCTGGATACCCCCAAGCATAAACAGCCATTTATCAGTTCTTCCAACCTGGGCCCATTTATCACGATTCATTTCTATAAGGATCACATTCTGGCTCCTAGCAAGACTTCTTCTCTGTAAGTTTACTTGACTCCTCACTCATTTCATGGCAAGGTTTATCACTCCTTTCTTGAGGCTTCAAGAGTAAGAGTATACACTTCAGAGTATTATTTCCCAGCTGGGTTATTATTATTAGTGTGGCTGCAAAGTTTCTTGAGAAACTCAAACTCTGTTTAATTACTGTAGGGAATCAGAAAGAATGGCAAAGTAAATTTCACCTCTTTTCCCTCTGGAAGAACAACCAAGCCCATGAATCTCAAAGATGCAAGATCTCCTTGATCCCAGGGGGAATCAGGACTTCTGGCTCAGGACTGAGCTTTATTGAGGCTGGCTTGCCTGATAGTAACTCCCTCTGGGGGCAAGTTCCTGGAGGTGTGGGTTCCTATATCCACTGAACATGGAAGATGGTGTGACTTCTGTTGGGGCTAAGAAGTGGCTACCTGCTAGGTGGACGGCTGTTCCTTCAGCCCGTTCGGCATCCATTCCCCCTGCTTCTGCTAATAGGACTACAACATTCTTTGGGGAACCACTCTTCCCCAATACTCAGTCAATGAGCTTCCCAGGGGTTGACTTCCTTGTCATTTCCAAGGACAGACATGGGACCATGTGGCCAATCAGAATGTCTCCCATATTTCCAGCCTCAGGTTCAAGGTTGGATCAGGACTAAAGCCAGACAAGAAGGCTCAGTTTCTCACACTGGGTAAGTCTTACTCATCTTTTGAGACCAGGAACCAGGAGTTGCTTCCCACTCTCTACTCCCACAGAGTGCTGTGCTGCCCCATCCTAGAACCCATCACACTGTTCTCCTTTCTTGTCTGCCTTCCTCAAGGCTGTGAAGTGCAGGGACAAAGATAATTTTTAACTTAACGCATGATAGGTAAATGGGCCCAGAATAGCTACTCCATCAATTTCCATTAAATGGTGGTTGGGGAGGGGTTGTGAGGGAGGGAAGTTCAATCCTGGTAATGGGGAGGGTCAGGCTGAGCAAGGACAGGGCCAGTGGTTCCGGATTTTGTATAGATCACACTTCAGATCTGATCTCCAAAAAGCCTTATTAAGAGAGCAGCAAAACCGAGAATTGCAGTGATGTCTCCGGCAGACCTCCCAGCTCCCATTAATGACCCTTATAATAGCTTTTCATTGCCTTCTCTTTCCTTAAGAAAGTCTCACATTGTCATCCAGGCCTGTTAAACGTTCTGTGGGCCCATTATCAAAATAGCATTTTCAGCTTCACTGAACACATGTAGGAAATGTCGTCGTGTTTAAAAAAAAAAAAACAAAAAACAAAAAACAACTATGAGAATAAGCACAGATTGTATTGGGGTAATTATCTCCTCTCCAACAGCCTTTTGGAAAAAGAGGATATTTCTAATTTTTGGAAAGCCGTACGTCCAAAGGGTACATCGTCAATGAGATTAGCAGTGCTGCCATGGAAACCTGACATCAAGTCAATTCCTCCTCCATCTCTGCCCTCCACCTCTCTGGCCAAGCCCTCTGTCCCTGTAAGATAGAGGGAAGTCACCCAGGTTTCTGACGGATGCCGGCTGCGAGGGTCATTTCTCACTGCATTTCTATAGGAGTATGAAGTCAGCCTCTCACTCTGAGTGGTGGGCGGGTCCCACACTTGTGATGATGACACTGGGGTTCAACCAGGGTCACCCTGGGTTAAGGGCTGGTGCAGAGCCACGGATGTGCTGCAGGCAAAGGTGGGTCCTCGGGCACTGAATATGCACAGCAGAAGACTCAAGGTCTTTGGCCGATTTTATGTCAGCCGTTTTATGACACCAGCTCCGAGTGACGTTCTCACTGTCCCTGCAGGTCCTTCGGCCACTAAGCAGCAGTGCAGGCTCTGCATTCTGCTTTTGCAAGCTCCAGTGTCCTCGTCTGCAAACTCTGAGGGACAGCGCCCACCTCAGCTTTAGAAGGAAGGATCGAAGCCATCAGAAGATGCAAATATGCATAATGGCTGCTCAGAAAAGGCCACCTCTGTTCAGGTCACTGTCTTGACATCTTCCTACGCTCCTGTCTGATCTGAAGGGGACCCCGCCTGGGTGGCTCCAGATGTCCAGGCCCAGTGAGGAATGTGGGCACATCATGCAATGATAGGCAAACTGTGAAGTATACAGAGGAAGGCACGGGCTTGGCTTTGTGGAGCCAGAGAATCGTCCTCGAGGGGGTGGTAAGGGAGCTGTGCCTGGGACGAAGGACAGGCATTCCCCAGAAGACAGAGGAACAGGTTCCTGGGCAGAGGGGTCAAGTGGTATTTTGTGGGTATGTGGGGCAGATGAGGGTGGGGAACAAGGTTGGACACAGCCGCCACGTGCATTGGATGGCATCCCATGACAGCGGCTAACGGTGGGTTAGGGGTCTCAGGCTCCATGGGCTTGCAGATTGCTTGGTGAGTTTGTTAAAAATGTAGCACCCTGGGGTGGGGCTCAGGAATCTACCTTTTCTGCCACCTCCTGGATGACATCATGCAGGTGGTCAGAGGCAGCCCTGGAGAACAGAGCTACAGGTGAATGAGAGTGAATGCAGGGCTTGGGCTCAGGCGGTTCCTTCCCCTCAGGTGCAGGAGCAGGGTCTGGGGTCTCAGGATCCTGGGCGTGGGGTATGCTAGCATGAGAGCTCTTGAGGGGGTCATCTGAGAAACAGCAAGTTGGGGGAGCCCCGGAATAAGAACCCCAGATAGGTGATCACAACTCTGTTAGGAATCACCAGGTGCTGGGCAGAGAGATTCCGTTCCGGGGGTTTCAATGGTGAGACACGAGCTGGAGCGGAGAGGAATGTTGGAAGGGGGGGGCGTGAGGAGCAATCATCAGGAGCAATTTCTGCATGATGGGACTGTAGCAGCAGCCTGGAGGCTTTAGGAGGGGAGAAAAAAAAATAGCACATACTAAGTACCTGACATTATTCTAAGGACTTATTAACCCATTTAATTCCCATAACTGCTCTAATTAGAAAAAAATAGAGAGAGTTATTCTCAATTAATAGACAAAGAAACTGAGTCCCAGAAAGTAATTTGCTCAATGAGTAAGTCGTGGAGGAGAGACCCAAATCATCCAGACCCAGGGAGTCCAGCTCGTGGGGCCGCATCTTCCACCTTGTGCATCAGCTGGGCCTTAGACCGTGCACACGGTCCCAGCTCTGCACAGAGGGGGCCTGGCTGGCCTGGCTGGGGCCAGGCTGGAGACCGGGAGGCCAGGGAGGGCTGGGACCCTAGCCCAGCTCAAAGACCCCACAGACTGGATACGGCACCAGGCAAGGTCTTGGGCAGAGCCTAACTGAACTGGAAACACCTTGAAGATGGAGTGGATAGCACCTGGTGGTTGTGGGCTTTGTGGGGGCCTCTGAGGGACTGACCCTGGAAATGGGTCTTTTCAGTGCATCACTCAGAACCCCAGGGTCACCTGGGAGATCTTTGGTGAGAAAGCAAGGACCTTATGCTCAAAACTTGGGGCACAGAAGAAGGAGTTGAGAACCATACGGGGCAACACAGAGTTGCCAGGAGAAAGGGTTGAGGCTGCTCTCTCTTACTTAACAAGGGCTGGGAGGCAACCCCTCAAGTGCACAACGCAGCCCCTGAAGCTCTCGGGAGGGCAGGGCTCTGGCGAGCAGGCTTACTCCCCCAGCACAGCGTCTCCAGCCAGACCCTTCAAAGCACAACCCACCTTACCTTGCAAGGCAGACACACGTTCAAAGTGCAGGTTCCCTTGCTTCTTGACCCTATGAGTGGGTTGCTTTACTTCTCTGAACTTTGGGTTCCTTATCTGTGAAGTGGGCATAATAACAGACTGTGGATTGGCGTGGCTGCCTTGTGGGTCTGGTGGAGGGGAAGGTGAAAGCATTTTCCACACAGGTGAGAGGAGGTGGAGAGCAAGTTGCCTCTGGGGCCCTGGCAGCAAGCATCCCTTTCATTGGGGGTGGGGGTGGGGTGCTTCTGTGAGCCAGCAAGGCGGTGATGCCTGTAGAGGGGATCTATACTAATTGGGAGAACCCACTGGGAATTTCTGGCGAGTTACAGGATGAGCCACGTTGAAGATGCTTAAAAGCTGAGTGTTTGGGCGTGTGTCTGTGCTGGTGTTCCGTGTGTGAAGTCACAGTGAATAATAATTGGTCGCTTCGTGTTTTCCACCCTGGGTGACAAGCAAGGAGGTGGGGACAGCCAGTCAATATGCGAAACAGCCCACAAACTTCTGCTGTGGGCTCCGAGTGAGCACAACCCCACCCCCAGCCCTGCCAAGGCCCCTGGCAGCCGCAAGGGTGGTCCGTGGAGTGCAGGGAGGAGAGGAGAGTGGGCTGGGCAGGAGTGCAGGCCGGGATAAGGGTTTGGGTCCTTATCCTAAGCACACTGGGAATTCACTGACGTGCTTTCAGCTAAGGGGCTGTATGATCAGTTTTGTGTTTCAGAAAGCTTCAGGCTGCCACGGAGGGAATGGATTAAAGTGGGGTAATTCATGTCACAGACTTTGCTCCGGAGTCAGACTATAGTAAGTGCTCAGGAAACATTATCCAGTTGCTGTTATTAATCTTTTAGCTGCCAGGTGCCTGGAGGAACGTGGATGGCAGCTCAGCAAATGAGCCTGAAGTGCTTCCTCTCTCCAACAAAGGGACAGGCTGCTTCCAGGCTCCTTGGCCAGGCTGGGTTAGCCTGGCATCTTCCCATCTGTAGCTATGGAGGGTCAAGAAAGAGGCCCAGCCAGGCCTGAGATAGGAGTGAGCAAAAGCTTCCAGTGTGGAGGGCGGGGCTGAACACTGCCAGGAAGCTCCGGCAGTGACAGCGTGCGCTGGGGGGGGGGGGGGGGGGGGGGGGGAGTCGGGGGAGGAAGGGATTCTTGCCTTGCTAGCTTGGGCCCAGTTCACAGCCCTCCTGCTGGTCTCGGCCATTTGACTGCCCATACAGCTGGATTCACTGTGTGTGTATTGGGGGGCGGGGTGCAGAGGGGGCTCTGGCTTCCCAGATGGGAAGAAGGAAAGGCCCACAGGGACAAACGCTGCCCTCCAGGGAGGGAGCTCAGCTGGGATTACAGACCTCTTGGGCTGATTTAGAAACTCCAGTGGGGAAATGGGTCGTCCTGCAACACCTACCAGGCTTTGCCCAGGACCACCAGTAGCAGCTTCCCTGAGACCAGAACTCCCAGCAACAGTGCTGCGGACTCCTCGCTGTTCTCCATTTGATCCTAAACGCTGACCGATCCTCTGTCTAACCTACTTCCAAATTCTCTGTTCCACACAGCAGCCATGAAGCACATGGGCTTTCTGAGCACTTGAAAGTGGCTCATTCCACTGGAGATGTGCTACGAATATAAAGTTACACACTGAATTTCAAAAACTTAGTACAAAATAAGTAATGTTAATAATGTCCCGTATTGGTTACATGTTGAGCTGATAATACTTTGGCTACGTTATATTAAATAATATCTATTATTAAAATGGACTTTACCTGTTTGCTGTTTGATGTCTTTTTAAACGGAGCCCCTAAAATTTTAAACTAGCCTATCTTCCTGGCATTGTATGTCTATTGGATAGAACTGATCTAGGGTTTAACTAGGTGAAAATGGTCCAATAAGACAAAGACAAAAAAAGATCCTTTGAGCTCTCTCTAGGGCATAAATAAATGAGAAGGGCAAATGAATCCCCCTGACTGGTGACCTGTTCATAGGGGTCTCCAATGCCTTGAGGTGGTGGGTGGGGAAAGTACCAGCAGGTGAGCCTCCTCTGAGTGCAATGAATGTGGGGATGTACACCTAGGAATGCTGTTAGGAGGAGATTAAGTGAGGGAATGTATGGAAATCTCCCAGTGGAGTGCTTGGCACTCAGAGGCATCAGCATTCTTCTCTTCCTTTCAACAAGGAAATTTCAGAACTGGGAGGATCTTTTGGAAATGAGGGCTGAGCATCCCTCTGGTTCTTTGGATTCATTCACCATTCTTTGAGCTGGTTAGAATGGTAAACCAGGTGGACAGGGTCCCTGCCATCGTGGAGAAGAGCCACCCTCATAACCTACAGTGGTGCATGTGTACACTGGAGGCTCGGGGGTGGAGCCGTGTGCTTTCCTGGCAAATGACAGGAGCTCTTTCTGCCTTCCTAGCATGTCTCTCAGCTCTACTTCCATCTCATCAGGCTGGCCATGCCCCTTGGAAGCAGCTGAAACCCTCCCCAACCCATGCACTCGTAACCAGCACTCTTTGTCAACACCTGTGAGGCTCAGCACTGCAATTTCTATAAAGCCAGGCTGAAGGGAACCAGGTAGTGAGAGCTGGTTCCTATCATACCTCATTCTGTCTCCAGCTCTTGAGGTCCACTGAATGCCATGCCGGTACTCCTCTGGGATTTCTCTCAGTTAATGCTGATCCCCAAGCAATGAGGGCCTCTTGTCTGGCCGTTCACCTTCCTGCCCAGCAAGTCTGAGCTTCCGGGGAAAACAACGAGAAGAGAAAGCAGACCACTGGGATCTGCAAATGGGCAAATGGTGTCTCAGTGTGGCGATTCTCTGAGCACAGGCAGAAATGTAGCCAGATGGGAATGTTAGCGTGAGGGGCCATGAGGCCCACCATCATCCTCGTGATGGCGTGTGTTGAAACCCTGGAGTGCACTGGATACATTGCAAATATTATTAACTTGAATCCTCCTCCAACCCTTTGGGGTAAATTAAATCCAATGTCGTACAGATCTTACCAGACTCACTCATGGTCTCACAGGCAGTGACAGAGCCTGTTTTTAAATCCAAGTCTCTTTTCCTAAGAACCCTATACCAGATACTCCACACGCTACATGCATGGACAGATGGTTCCCAAGAATATTCCCTGCCATTATCTATTTCATTTGTCCAAGATGCAGGAGCACAGGCTGAAAAGAACATGTAGGGGACAATGTCTGAGTCCTTTTGTGCCTGCCCAACCCACATCGCTGTGCCTTCCCTTCTTCTCTGCTCTTTGCCCGGACTGGGTGGATTCACATGGTCAGTCTCTGGGACACAGAAGTATTCATGTTGCTTT